AATGGATTTTCAAAATATCAGCAGACGCATGTGCAATTAAAACCATAAGATGGTTCGTGCACAGATGGTCCCTGGCTGACGATGGTTGGGTTTAATGATTTTTTTTTTTTTTTTTTTTTTGACTGCATGACATCCACACAACTTCCACTTTTCCTTTCAGTGCCCATGCAATAAAATTAATGAGATAGCCAGCACCTTATTATGTATTGATGACTTGTATGTATGTATGTATGTATGTATGTATGTATGTATGTATTTATTTTGGGGGCAGGGTCTGATTATGTAGCTCAGACTGGCCTTGATCTGACAGAGATCCTCCTGCCTCTGCCTCCTGAGTGCTGCGATTACAGAAGTATGCCACCTCACTCAGTTCGTTGGATGATTTCACGGGTTACACTGTGCATATTATTGTTAGCCTCAAATGCTTCACTACAAACATTCGCACCATGTGATTATTATAGCCAGAGGAGGCCATTTTGGAACACTTACTCCTAAACTTGAATGGATCTCCAAGAGGCTGGACACCCAGGGTGGCTTAGATGCTGATTGTGTCCACTCCTCATGTCTATCTGCTGGGGGATTAAGAAGATGGTACCCCATCTTTCAGAAATTGAGCATTAGGCCCCATTTCGTGGATTAATAGCATCCGCATTGACTGGTCAAGACAGATGCCAAAGTATCCCTTCATCTTAGCGACATCAGAAGTGTGTGCTAGGAAAAGCAGGGCAAAATGGTTCTCGGGCTGGCAGGGTTTTGCTTTAGAATGAATTTATATTCAACTTCCGATTTCATATGTTGGAGCCAAATCCCTGTGTGGTGACATCCGGGAGGTAAGGCAGTGTGTGTGGCCATGATTGTAGCTTAAGGACGGGGCAAAGAGGCTTCCAAGAACAACTTTGTCATAATTGATTGGGAAAAAAAAAGCCCGTCTATGGAGCAGGATGTGAGGCTTCACTAGACACTGAGACTCCCAGGGCTTTTTATCCCAGACTCCACAGCCTCTGGTTGTGAGAAATGTAATTCTGTTCTTTCTAAGACAGCTACTTGATGGTGTTCTGTTTTAACAACCCAGATAGACCAAGGCGTGTTTGAAGGAGCAAGATTTGAATTCATCAAACAAGAGCCAAATGAGGACTGAACAACACACAGGAACCCTGTGCATATCATTGTCTGATCCCACAAGATTTTGTGAGGGTCCCATCCCCATAATTAATGATTAACGATCATGGCAGGACTGGTGGACATGGGACAGCCACATCCATCTTGTCCCTACTGTCCCTGCATAACGCCGGCCATCCCTGTCCTCCCTTACAACTGGGCCCCATGCTCACTACATTATTTAAAAATTTAAAAGCACGACGGGCATTGATGGAGCACCCCTTTAATCCCAGCACTTGGGAGGCAGAGGCAGGCGGATCTCTGTGAGTTCGAGGCCAGCCTGGTCTACAGAGCGAGTTCCAGGACAGGCTCCAAAGCTACAGAGAAACCCTGTCTCAAAAACTCAAAGAAAGAAAGAAAGAAAGGAAGGAAGGAAGGAAGGAAGGAAGGAAGGAAGGAAGAGCCAAAAATGAAAAGCACAAGAGGTTAACTTTTTATTATCATCCACTGCCTCCAGCAGTGGACTGCAGTGGACACAGAGGGGCAGAGCTGCTAAGAAGGAGGTGAGGACCCTGCGGTTGATGCCCAGGAGGGCGGGGCAAAAGCACTGTCTATTGCTGACCCAGCACCCTTTCACCTGCGCCCATTCAAAGTCCGCTCTGTGCCGGCTGAGTTCAGCGGTGAGGTGACTAAGGTAAGAACCGTACCTTCCAGAACTCAGTCTGGACAGGAAACTAGAGATCCGAGAAACCAAACAAAACAAATGCCCTGAAAGCAAGCAGCAAGCCTCTGCATACTGCTGCACCAGCCCTGGGGTTGACAGCCCGGGGGTGGGGGTGGGGTGGGGGATTGGGGACACTTCCCAGAAGTGTCTCTTGTGCTGGCTTCTCAAGGGATGAGGGGGAATTCTTCTGGCCCAGACAGGAAGAGTTGTCTAAACAGTAAATTTCCAGAAGGGTGTAGGTCAGAGAGATGGTGGTGTGAGCTGACAGAGAGGGTGGTGATCTGGCTGAAGTGGCTTGAAGGGGTGGGGGGGGTGGGGAGACGGTGGGGTGGGAATGATGGGTAGTAGTAGCCAATGGGGAGGGGGAAGATGGTGTCAGAGAGGAGGGCGGGGATCTGAATTCTTTCCACGGAAGGAAGAGAGCTAAGGCTTTAGGGAGATGTGACAAGGTCTAGGCTAAGGTCGTTTTCATGGCCTTGGGTGACTGGCAGAGAGGCCAGCTGTTATAAACTCACCTGGGAATGACCTTTGTATCGCAGAGGCCTTTGATGACCTTCCTGTCTAGCGATATACTTCCCAGGTGATGAATCGAGTTCTAGAACCGTTAGGAGATCTGCACAAAGCTATCTATCCAGTTAGGGAATAGCAGAGCAGGGATTGGGGTCAGCATCTTCTACACTTTCCCAGAGAACAAAAAGAAAAAGGAAAAAAAGCCGAGCTCCATCCACTACTGGTAACTTCAAGAACATTCTACCACAAACCCCCGAAAAGCAGCATTAGACATCAGGGTTACACACCTCCTGCCCCAGTTCTTGGAAAAAGCTGTGATGGTCGCTCTGTCAACTTGGTGGGACCCAGAGCCACTTGGAAACAAACAAATGGGCGTGCCTGGGAGTGGCTGAGGTAGGAAGACCTTCTTTTATTGATGGACAAAATAAAATGTAGAAAGTGACCAACCGGACCACTAGCAATCACCCCTCTCTGTTCCCCGACTGGATGTCACGTGACCATAATTGATGGCAAGCTCCTGCTGCTTTGATGTCCTCGCAGTGAAGCACACAAGACACACTAGAACTGTCATTCAAGATAAAACCCTTGCTCCACCCACTTGCTTTCCTTGGAGTGTTTTGGTGTAAGAGGTGTTGGGGAGAGAGGAGATACTGTAAGCCTGTGGCTGGGCTGGGCTGTCTCAATAACCCCTTAAAACCCCTTAAAACAACCAACCAAACAAAACACAAATCGGTAGACGGCGGTGTCTTACAGTTAGAGCCTACAGCACTCTAACTCTGCAACGCTGGGGAACTGAGTGAAGGCACAGGGCTACTCTGTTAAGTCAACCACAGGAACCAAATCTTGCCAGTGATGGCACACCTGCCAAGCTAGGTGTCCTGAGTTCACTCTCTGCAACCCACATGGTAGGAGGATAAAGGTGACTCTCACAAGTTGTGTACACACACACACACACACACACCACGCAGAATAAAAAAAAAAAAAAAAGATAAGTGCTTGATAACCCCTCCCCTGGACTATCTACATTGCTGAGCCACACAGGGAAGGCCTTTGTGAGCATCGAGGACCAGTCTGTTCAGAGAGCTGAGCGCTACGGGAGTTTTACTATCTTGAAAGAAATCCTAGCAGGAAAATATTTCCCTCCCCAGACCTCCAGCCACTGTGCTGATGATGCCCAGAGACTTTAGCCCCCCAAGTAGCTTGGGACTTGGAGTGGGCCCCGAGTTACTTTTGTTATGATAAACTTAGTGGGGACCTTGGCAGACTGAATGGCAGGCCAGGATGGCCGAGGCGGGGACAAACACGCCAGGCAGACAGACCTTAGTGAGAATTGTATTAGAAAGGGAAGGGTATGTGTGTGTGTGTGTGGGGGGGAGGTAAAGAGATGCAGAGACATGGAGAGGACAGAAGAGGAGAGGGAGACAGGAAAGTCCTGTCTGCCCCAGGGGAGCAGCAGGAGAGAGAGAGGAAAGAGAGTGTAAGTGGGCGGGGCTCTTTCTTTTAAAGGGTCCTTTACACCTGCCTGCAGACTCTGCAACCATGGAACCCTGGGCTGACCAGGGTACTGCTTAGTGCTTTCTACCAGGTGACAGGGGCAGGCCAGCGTAATGCCTGAATCCTTACAACTTTGATGTCAGTCTCTTGTTTCTGGAGTTTGGGGACAAGGAAGAGAATTTCATTTTGCTTTTTATAAAACTTGGATTGTAAGGGCAGCATGAATCTCCTGAGGCCTCCCACTACTCCACAACACTCTAACTCTGCAACATTGGGGAACTGAGTGATCGTCTACAGGGAGAATCCTGTTTGAGTGTGAAGCTGTGGCATGTCATCTGGGAACTCAGCTGCTATGTATGGGAAGAGGCCTCTTCTGGTAACGTGACTGGCTGTGAGAGCTGCAGGAGCTCGGCTGAGCTGCAGGCCATTTTCCAGAATGGCCCGTGTGTTATACCCACTGACCCACCTTAGAAGGGGCACATACGGAGTGCAGTGTGATGCAGAGGGGATAAAACTTAGCCGCAACGATAAATTCATGGAGGTGCAGCATCTGTCACACGCGGAGTCAGGAAGTGTGATCCAGAAGGTGTGTGTGTGTGTGGCGTGTGTGTGTGTGGCGTGTGTGTGTGTGGTGTGTGTGTGTATGTGTGTGGTGTGGTGTGTGTGTTGTGTGTGTGTGTGTATGTGTGTGGTGTGGTGTGTGTGGCGTGTGTGTGTGGTGTGTGTGGTGTGTGTGTGTGTCATTGTGTGGTGTGTGTGGCATGTGTGTGGCATGTGTGTGGCATGTGTGTGTGTGTGGTGTGTGTGGCGTGTGTGTGTGGTGTGTTTGTGGCATGTGTGGCGTGTGTGGTGTGTGTGTGTGGTGTGTGTGGTGTGTGTGTGTGGTGTGTGTGTGGGTGGTGTGTGGTGTGTGTGTGTGGTGTGTGTGATGTGTGTGTGATGTGTGTGTGTGGTGTGTGTGGTGTGTGTGTGTGTGGTGTGTGTGGTGTGTGTGTGTGTGGTGTGTGTGGTGTGTGTGTGTGTGTGTGTGTGTGTGTGTGGTGGGGGGAATTAACACCATATGTCGTTAGGCTGTGGTGTCAATGCTGTCATGTCACGGCAGGTGTTCCTCTCAAACAGCCCTGATGCTACTCCCAACACCACTGCCCTCCTGCCAGACGCACAGGGCTCTTACCAGGTACTGAAGTCGCTGGCGCTCTGTCTCAGGGGTGAACTCCGAAGACATGGGGATGATTTCTCCATTTCTGATTATTATGGCCCTGGAAAGGGGAAAGAAAACTCATCAGCAGCCGACAAACTCATAAAGCCTCTGTGAAAGACAACCTCGGACAGGCTGCAAGATGTCCTTTCCTCCCACCCACCTGCCCGGCAGGCTCACTCTCATCGTGGCTGGATCCCTTGCCATGTTGGGGTGTCATCACTGTTCCAAGACACTCAGTTCTACAGCTATCAAAGAATGACGTTTCTTTCTTTTGCTGCTACCTGGACCCACTGCCTTAATGCCCTGGCGACAAGCATCCAACTCTACACGAAACGGTTTTCACTCTGGCCCAGTTTGTCCAGCTGAACCTTGTGTGAGCACAGCAGCGTTCTTTGCATAGTCCAACATGGCTGCCCCCCCCAGCCCTACGTGCACACCCGCAGCCCGGGAACCATGTTTATAATGCCATTTAATCTAAGTAAGTCTGATGTGGCTGGCATCTAACGTCCTGGGCAGTGCAAAGCTAGACTCTTGGGGACTCCAGGTGTCAGTGGACAGCAGTACTGGCCTTGCCTGGGAGCGTGGAGGAAATGCAGGGTCCCGGGTTCTACTCCAGCCTTCTTACCAGAACGGTCATTGAATTATCAGAATTAGATTCCCAGGCTGTTCACAAGCATGTTAGGAGCTAGACACTTCTGGCCTAGACTACAGTTCCTAGACCCCGGGGTCTAGAAAACTGCGCGCTTACCACCTTAAGGCTCCTTAAAGTCACACATTCCAGAAGGTCAACCCTAGAGCTACTGCCCTCTCAGGTACTAGGAGAGCAGAGTTCCCCAAAGCAGATGTCTAAAGCGAGGCTGTAGGACTGACAGGTGAGCAATGCCTTTTCTGGGTCTTTGGTGCTTCTAGTGCCCTGTGCTCAGACCTTTCCAGACACACAGAACTGAAAACTTCAAGATGGCAAGCTCAGGGCATTGAAACAGATGAAGGGTCCTTCTAATAGTGGGGTTCTGCATGACTACCAAAGTGGTGGCCTGAAAGAAAATGTCCCCCAAAGGGAGTGGCAGTATTAGGCGGTGTGGCCGTCTTGTTGGAGGAAGTGTGTCACAGTGGAGGCGGGCTTTGACGTCTCATATATGCTCAAGTCATGCCCGGTGCCTCAGTCTACTTCCTGTTGCAAACGAGCCCACTTTTAGGCCTCTCAGCTATGCCAGGTCTGGCTGCACACCACTATGCTCCCTGCCATGATGATGACTGAACCTCTGCAAGTGTAAGCTGCCACCTCATTAAGGGTCTTCCTTTCTAAGAGTTGCCATGGTCACGGTCTCGCTTCACGGCAATAGAAACCCTAGCTAAGACAACCAGTTTGCATGCCTGTGGAGATGGCCCTAATAGTGCACCCTTGACGTCTGCCAAATGACTACATGGCATCAATGTCCGCGTACATACTGAGGGCGCAGGCTGTTTCCGTCTTGAAACAGCTCACAGAGACATCCATGTGGATATTTCATGGGACTGCATACTTAGAAACATTCCAAACCGGTAACCAGTGTCACCTCCCCTGTCCCCCACAAAATCTGCCCCCCAGAATCCTCCGCCACAGGGACTGGCACTATTTCCTGCCCAGCTGTAGACCGCAGCCTCCCCGGGAGTGACTCCCTCACTCCACAGGCCTCAGAAGGTGCCCTGACCTACCACCTCCCTCCTTAGTTGCACCTGATCCCGTGTGTCCTTGACTCCTAGCACTGCCTTGGTCTGGGGTTCCATCAGACCCTGTGTATGACACCAGACTCTCCCTGGTTTTTTCCTGCTGCCAGTTGCGGTGGTACTGGAGGTGTGGCTTGTTGGGTCACTGTGGGGGCGGGCTTTGAGGCCTCCTATGCTCCCTCTGTGCAGTGTAGCAGTTCACTTCCTGTTGCCCACGGATCAAGGCGTAGGAGTCTCACCTCCTTGTCCAGCACCGTGCCAGCCCGCACGTCACCATGTTTCCCATCATGATGACAGTGGCCCAAACCTCTGAAACTGTAAGCCACTCAAATTCAGTGTTTTCTTTTAAAAAAGTTGCTGTGGTCATGGTGTCTCTTTACAGCAACTGAAGCCCTAAGACACCAATTCTGCCCACTTCTTACCCTTGAGTACAAGTGTGTGTGTGTGTTTTAATTAATCAATTACATATGTATATTTATGGGATACAATTCACATCTATAACAATATGTGAAGATTACAGGTTAACTGGCAGATGTACTAGTTCTAACACCTACCCCTTCTGTTGGGAACACTCATAACGATATTGCCCTCTCTCTCTCCCTCCCTCCCTCCCTCCCTCCCTCCCTCCCTCCCTCCCTCCCTCTCTCTCTCTTTCTCTCTCAAGACAGGGTCTCTCTCTGTAGTCCTGGTTGTCCTGGAACTCACTATGTAGATCAGGCTAGCTTTGAACTCACAGAGACCCACCTGCTTCTGCCTCCTCAATGCTGGAAATTAAAGGCATGTGCCACTACACCAGGCCTACTCACAATCACTTCTATAGTGATTCTGAATATGCAACATCCTGAAGCATATTTATCCTGCTACGTTACAGAACATCAGAGCAGACTCCTGTCTGGTTTTACCCATACACCCCCCCCCATCCTTCACTTCCCCGGCCCTTGCCAGCCTTCGCTTCCATTTACTCTATTCCACTGTGTGTGTGTGTGTGTGTGTGTGTGTGTGTGAGTGTGTGTCTGTGTGAGTGTGTGTGGGTACCAGTGTGTGTGCGTGTGTGTGTGTGAGTATGTGTGTGTATGAGTATGTGTGTGTGTGTGAGTATGTGTGTGCATGTGTGTGTGAGAGCGTGTGTGTATGAGTATGTGTGTGTGTGAGTATGTGTGTGGTCCTGCTGTGTTACCCAGTGAGATTGTAAACTTCCAACTTAACGATCTTGCTTTGGTCTCAAGTGCTGGGGCTGTAGGCACATGTCACCACACCTGGTTGATAAGGTGGGTTCGAGGCATCACTGTGACCCCTCTCCCTGCCACAGCCCTCACTGCAATTGTTGGTGTCAGCGATGTTTCTAACTACACTGAGGTTATTTTCCAGGCAGAGCTTGGTCACTTTCTGAGGGTGTTAGTGCCCAGTGCCTGGCATGTGACAGATGACAGGCACAGTTGTCTGCCAGCTAAGGGATAATCAACTGTGTACCCAGACAGTGATGTGGACTCGGGTGGGTGTGCCCAGACATAACGTTATAACTATTTTTTTTTTTTTTGCTTTGTGAGAACATTACTAATTGTCATCAGGCTGAGCAGGGAGACGCAGCCCAGCAGGTAAGGGCGATTGCTTCCAACCTTGATGATCCAAACTCCAATCCTGGTGCTGACTCTAGAAACTTGTTCTTTGACCTCTTCCTGTGTGCTATGGTATGTTCCACACACACACACACACACACACACACACACACAAGAGAAAAATATAATAAAAGGGTAGAAAAATCTGTACACACCTTCCCAATGGTTTTACAAGACGATGACAGACCTCCTACAAGGGTATCATCACTGAGAAGTGACTTGAAGGTGTCCAGGCCAGCCCACATGAGCATGCTCAGCGGGCACTTCCTCCCTGAGTCAAGCCTGCCTCTACACCCAGAGAGACACCTGACCCAGAGACACCGATGAGGACAGGACATGCAGCAGAGGCAGCGCCTGAGCCAGGGGGACCTTGGGAGGGGGGATAAAGGCAGGGCTAACGTCCTTAACAAACCAGTCTGCAGCACGCTCTGCTCCTCACTTGACTCCCAACACCTCAGTCGCTGGTGATGCGTGTGAGCTGGGAACCCGCAACAAAGGGGGAGTGAGGCAGGGTTATCTCCTCATGGGTCAGAAAGTAGCCAGGCCACCAGCTGTCCCTTATGGGTACATTTGTAAATTTCAAACTCCACATGAGTGTCTGCATTCATCCCAGTGCAGCTACGGTAAGCCTCGCCTATTACTTCCTTGAGTAGGCAATTACATCCAAATTCCACTCTGCACTCAGACACACACGCACACACACGCACACGCACGCACGCATGCACGCACACACGCGCACACACACGCACGCGCGCACACACACGCACGTGCGCACACACGCACGCACGCGCACACACACGCACACACACTCTTCCTTTATGAGGCGCCCACAGATTGAAGTGTTTGACTGCCAAGCGTCCAGTGCCCCCTCCTGTGTAATGGCGGGGTGTGGTTTTCCTTTGATCTCATTCCCTCCCCTCCCTCTGATCTTGGGATTAATATGCCAGAGTGCTGGTCTCCAGTGCTTTAGGACAACACAAGGGAAGAGATCTCAAAGGGGACGCACGCACGGGGTGGGTGTGAGTACGTGCGAATCTCATGCTCAACCGTGCACAAAGCAGAGGACGCCCAGACTGAAGCCAAGTTCTCTCATCACAGGGCCTGGGGGTTTGTGTCTCCTTTCATTATTATCACAGGGCGTGCTCCCTAAGGAAACGTCACGGGACAAAAGCCGAGGCCCAATGAAGGCCAAGGAGAACCCGGCCTCTCGTGTTCCCTCTAGAGCCCCAGGCCTGGGTCCGTGGCTATTAATCTGGCCAGATTTTAGGTGATACTCCATTTACCTTTTCCATTCAGTGGAAATAAGTGAGAAATCTGTAGAGATTGCCATTCCCTCTCCAGAGGGAATGGTCCTTAAACATGTTCCCGGATGTGGAGGTCAGCTTTTCACTCGCAGACACAGCTGAGATCTATTTTCACTGCAGTATATATAGATGGGCTGTTGTTTATGGTGTGATGAATGACCCAGCTTGATATTCAGTTCTTGTGAGTCAACTGGAGAGTGCTTAGATACCTTCCTTCCCAAACAGTAGCCACACGAAAGGATAAAGGTGACCCACTCCACGGGGAATTACGAATTTAGAGAACACATTCTGGAAGTCCCACGTCTTCCATCGAAGGTAACCGTTCAGAATGGAAAACACCCACCTTTTACTACTCTTGCGAGTGAAAAACATCTAGCTAGTCCAAAGGGAACAAGAAAGGGATTTGGGACGTTCATCTCAAACAGTCATCC